CCCTTCTCGCCACTGAGCAGCCGGGGTCTCCTGCCTGGGGGTCCCCTGCCTGGGGGTCCCCGCAGCCATGCCAAGGGCAGCCTGGCAGAGTCGCGTTCTGCTCTGGTGCTCAGCTCCAGCGCTGCGATGCCCCGGTGCAGGGATTGCTGTCGAAGAGCCCCAAGCTCGCAGCGGGTCCGCAGCCCTCGCCTTCTCCATCTCGGAGGGAAGCTGTGACGCGCTTGCCGAACGCGCTGCTTCCGAACCCTCCCGGCTGAGCGAGGCAGAGGCGTAGCTGTGACCTGGCGGGGTGAGATCTAGCGGTGTGCAGGGCAGAGCTGTGCTGTGCTGTGTGGTCAGAGTGGCTGCTGCCCGTGCCTGCCGGACTCGTGCCAACCCGAGGTGTCCGGGTGCAGCGGGGGAAGCCGGACCCAGCCCCGGCCGGCTGGGAGCGACCGCGTGGGACGGCGTCCGCGGCTGGCGTGTGAGCTGACAGCGGGAACGCAGCGCTTGGCGTCTGGCTCGTGGTGCTCCTCGCTGCCGGAGTCCTTGGGTTGTGTCCCCGCTTGTGCGGCCTCTCCGGGCGCTTCTGCTGAACGTGGTTCAGGAGAGCCGTGCGTGGCTTCCTCCTTGGGAGCACTCGGGAGCACGAGCGATCGTAAAGTGAGAGGGAAGTCAAGCAAAAAACATCGACCCCGTTAAAGATCGGTGGGATGGAGATTTCTGAGCAGCTGAGTTTGTCAGCTGCTCCGCATGAGTAAGCGGGAAAACATGACAATGGCGTCAAGGCAGCCGGCGTTCGGCAGAGACCGCTCCGTAGGAAAACGAGGAAAGAAGCTTCAGAAAGCTGGGTTAGAGCGCAGAGGACAGAGATGGTCAGAGCACGCAGCGGTCCCCAGAGGCACGTCCCTGACTCTGCGTCCGGAGGAGCTGGGCTGGAGGAGCGGCCCGCGGGGGCTGGAACCCTCTCAGCCAGCGAGAGCCCCGTCCCGGGGGAGCTGGTGTGTGGCTTGGGGGGGGCTTCTCTGAGGGGTGGCCGAGAGTCTCTTCTGCAGTTCCTGGTGGGCCAGGCAGGGTCTTCTGTGGGGCGGCAGGAGGGAGTGGGGCTGGGACCCACGGGGAGATGGCTCTCTGCTGTGAAAGCAAGTTTTTTGAGTCCTGGATCCTGCTTGTTCCTCTGTCCCAGCTTTCTTTAACAAGGCCCCTTCAGAGGGATTGAGGTTTCTCTGAAACCTCGTGTGCTCTTTGCCACCAGGAGAAATCCGTCCTGCCGATGGGCTCCCTGGACAGCGAGGAGGCGAGCGGGATGCCGCTGCAGGTGCCAAAGGAGATCTGGCTCTTGGTGGACCACTTGTTCAAGCATGCCTGCCGCCAGGTGAGGGAGAGGCCTCTGCCGTGCCGGGGAGCCCTGCAGAGCTTGGTGACCTAGGCTGGAGATCAGCTCCGGCTTGGTGTTTGCAGGGAGGGGCTTTTCCCCTGTGCTGGAGACTCTGGCCGGGGTTACCAGCTTTCACCTCACTGTCACCGTGTGCCTCAGGTGACTTTGTCCATCCCTGTGCTGCTTTTGGCAGGAGGACCTGTTCCAGACTCCAGGCATGCAGGAAGAGTTGGAGCACATCATTGACTGCCTGGACACCAGTATCCCTGAGACAATCCGTATCCTCGCTGCGCCTGGCTGTCCCGGGAGCCTGCTGGAGCTCAGCTCTGCTGGGAGAGCTTCGCGGGAGGGCTTGGCTGCAACCTTTAGCTGGCAAGGCCCCTCCTGGGGGTCAGCTCCCCCCTAGCCCCCAGAGATAACCCGTCTTGAAGCTGGATGTGTGCTGGCTAAAGCAGCTGCAGGGCCAGAGCTCTGGAAGCTTCAGCAAGGCTGTGCCGAGCGTGAGGGTGGACACTGGAGAGCGTGATCTGGAGAAGGGGCTCGTGGAGCAGGGGACTTCTGTGGGACTAGAGGGTGGGCAAACAGTGCAGGGTGGAGGGAGCAGCATTTTCCATGGATGGGGGACGACAGAGAAGGAGGAGGAGAACAGCTTTGGTGTCGGGGAGCGGTTAGGCAGGCAGAGAACGTGCAAGACCTGCGAGGAGGAAGCAGAGACTGAGCAACGGGGAAGGAGGTGTGGCGGGGAGCAGGCTGGGGAGGGAGGTGGTCCGTCTGCTCAGCATGCCCCTTGATTCCCACCGCTCCAGCGGGCAGTAACCACTCTGTGGCCGAAGCACTCCTCATCTTCCTGGAGGCTCTGCCAGAGCCAGTGATCTGCTACGAGCTGTATCAGCGCTGCCCAGCAGCCGGCTGTGCCGACAGGTAGGGTGCTGCCGCTGTCTCCGTCAGCTTGCTGCGGGCTCAGGGCAGCTCTCCCTGCTGCTGGGAGCTCTGCCTTGCTCCTGGCACCTGCTGGGTCCCACTCCCTTCCCGTGAGCTGGCGAGGGGCTTTGGGGGCAGGTGCTTGGAGGTTCTTGGCAGCGGGCAGGGTGACCTGGGTGCTCTGGCAGTGCTTTCCTGCCCCAAGGTCTCCACTGCACGGTCTCCCGGCAGTGCTGGAGCCTTCCAAAGAGACCCCAAGCGTGGCTGTGTCACCCCAAGCCCCCGGGGAGCAGGAGCCGCGGGGTGTGGAAGAATCTCCACTGGTCTGAGGGCTTAAGCACCTGCTCAGAGCTGCAGTTCTGTGCTCCCCGTAAGGACTGGGAGTGGCTCCTAAAACGAGCTGGTGGGCAGCAAGCAGGGCCAAGCACGTCTTTGTGCAGAGGAAGATGTTTTGGGGCACATTTTCCACACTGGCATCAAGAAACCTCTTGTCCTGGTCCTCGTGCTGTGCAGCCAGGGGCGTGAGAGCTGGGACGCGACTGGAAACGAGCGGGAGGCAGCCCGGGGCAGTGAGAGACTTTGCCTGGTGACAGTTATCCTAGGGGCAGTGTTAGCAGGAGCCAGAGCCCCTGAGCCCCCTCAGCACCAGCCCGCAGCTGGGTGCTGGCTGCAGGCCTGGGGCTCGTGGGCGCAGCAGGGGGGGGAAGCTGCCCGTCTGGGGTCGGCGTGCCACGGCGTGCGCAGGCGGCAGCGGTGTGAGCTGGGAGAGCTTCCCGCCTCTGTGTGCTTCGCAGGTGATTTTCCAGCTGCCTCGGTGCCACCGCAGCGTGTTTCGGTACCTGATGTCGTTCCTCCGAGAGCTGCTCAAGTACTCGGAAGACAACAACGTCAGCGTCGCCATGATCGGTAAGCGCGTCGTTGCTCCGCTCCGCTCCTGCCGCCCTCCCTGGGGCAGGACCCCTTCCTGGCACCGGGCAGCGTCTCCGTTCCTGGCCGGTAACTGGTTTTGCCTCTGCAGCCGCCCTGTTCTCCAGCCTCCTCCTGCGCCCTCCGCCCAACCTGATGGCGAAGCAGACTCAGCAGGACCGCCAGCGTGCCAT